GAGATATACAAACTTTTAATACTTCAAATAAAGGATGTGTCTAGTAAACATAACTTACTAAAAATTACTTATAGGGAACGTTATCTTACGCACGTTGTGAGACTTAATTTCAATCATTAAAATTAATAGGTTGTATATTATTTAACTATTTTATTAAACACTTAGACAGTTTAACTGTAGATTTAAAGTGTCATATTTTGCCATGTCTCAGATGACGATTAAACATAATATAAAGTCTATTGCTAATACTAGTTTTTAGCTTAGCAATCGCGTATAAGTACAATAAAATTAAATTTTCTCTCAGTTACAATAATTGATAGACGATATCGTCTTTTATATAAGTTATTTTTGCAATAATACATTACAAGGAGAAATGAAAGAAAGTATAGAATCTAATAGAGCAAGGGCATAAATTACCATCGCCGACCTTCACGAAAAAAGCCTTGTTTTTAAATGCAGCCATCTAAGTTCGGAGAAAGAAGAGTAAATTGTATTGTATGACATCTGTTTAAATATAAATGTTACGTTCGTTTGTTACTAATAACAAATCTAAGATTTAAACCGTTTTCTTTTTCGGTTTTGTCCCAAGGTTGCATCGGTATCTCCGCGTGTTTTCAAATAGTTAAAAACTTTTATACCAATCCTGTTATTAATTAGTGATGAGCATTGTAAAATAAATATAAAAAATCATATCTCTTTACATCAGACCACAGGAACGCGTGGCCATGTACACCAATGCATCTTTCATGTTTATTTTACTAGCTGTGCCCGCGACTTCGCGTGGAATTATACTATATATAATATATTAATAATGTGAAATAAACAGAATTTCTTAAATAAAATTAGCCTTAGTTACTCCTTATTACATCAGCGATCTGCCTGTGAAAGTTCCGTCAAAATCGGTCTAGCTGTTTCAGAGTTAAACGGAAACAAACAGACAGACAGAGAGACATAAATTGTAAAAAAAATGTTAATTTTGTATATGTACCGTGTATACATATGCACTTAGTAAAAAGCTGTTATTTTAATGTTACAAACTGACACTCCAATTTCATTTATCTGTATAGATGTTATCTTTGCTTGCGAGAGAGGTTTAGGAGTTCAGAACCGTATTCATCAGATTCGATAAAACTGGCGTGTACAAGAGTAGAAAATAAAAACGCCGCAAGGCCGTACATTGGCTGGTTTTGTACAAAAAGGCAGAGACACTGCAGAAGAGCGTATGTAGACAGCTGACGGTTCATATGAGAGTTATTGAAACAAGTGTGGGTGGGATTATGATTATTTATCCTACATTTCTTGCTCTATGGATCTCTCTTAAGTTTTTGAATTACGTTAGAGCTGTGTAAATTACAATTACAATCGAACAGCTGCTAAAAGTTCCCTAATGCATCCATTTAAAAAAAACTCCGTCTTAACAAACTAAAGCGTCGTAGCACTTGCAGGCAACCTAAATAAATGAGGGAATCGATTAAAAATGCGCTGAGAATTTATCGTGCATAGGGTCAGAGCAATCGTTTTAAAATTAACTAGCTCGTATTCGCCACTTCGCTTTCCAATTAGAAAAGAGATTCACGTTCTCTTTACAATCCAACGAACAAGTCAAATACCTGTGTTTTTTTTATATTACTTTTTTATGTGAAAAGTTGCCAAGCGAGTAGGCAGTTCACCTGACATTAAGTGAATAACCGCCGCCCATGAACATCTGCTACACCCGAGGGTTGCTGATGCGTTGACAATCTTTTGAAAATTGGGCATCGGCCACCTCACTCGGCAGACAAAACGCGAAAGTATTATACTTCCACTTGGCGCCGGTCTTCTGTGAGGTCGTCGTATTTGACCGGACGAGCCTGCCCATTCGTGCAACAGCCGGGGCTGCTGCGTGGCCCTACCACAGTAATTTATAGTACGCGTCGATAAACACAACGAGCTTTTGCAAGAGACAATCGGCTGATTCCGGTTCCGTAGGATCTCTTTTACACACTACGTATCGGACTATTGGTACTTGGAGTGACAGGTGCCGATGCGCAATATATATAGTAGCTATTAGTGTAGTTCTGCAATCTCCTACTCAGTCCCTTTTTTGCAAAAAATTCTTCAGTGTCTAGACAGTATGTGGTAGGGACACGGACTTCGGCAGTTACACGAATGGGAAGAAGACCGGTGTGAAGTGGAAAGTGTCATACTTCTGCGTTTCGTCTGGTGAGTGAGGTAGACGGGGACCACTTCATTAAAAGGTGGCAACGAATTTGCACGCCCTTCGGTATTGCAAATGTTCAAAGACGGCGGTGATCACTTCCTAACCTAGTTTGTCCCAAACCCGTGGGTTCTGGCTAGCCCACCGGTTCTGCGTCCGATGAAGCTTTAATAGTCTCGGGACTGAAAGCAAAAACATTAGTTAATACAAGATACAAGATACCCAGTTTGTCTCTTTTTTCCATAAAAAAAAGCCTGAGCTATCGTCTCCGTATACTCGACCAATAAGAGTTCAGAGTTTTGTGAGTGAATTAACTTTAACTGTACATTGCGATTTCAGATGCACACTTGCCACGTGCACGGCCGCTAAGGAAAACATCGAGAACAAACCGGCAATGAATAAAACACTTCGATGATATGTGATGTCCGCCAATCGGCAGTGGGTTCATTGTAAGCCGTCTCGTGCTGCAGGTGTCCATGGACGGCGGTGATCACTCACCATCAGGTGCTCGTTTGCTCCTTTCCTCCATAAAAAAACAACCGCACCGCGTACACGAGGTACAGTTGCGTACCAGATCAGCTAATATAAAATATGATTGCACCTTTGCAGAGGGCTCCAAACGCCTCGATTCGAAAGCTGTTAACAGACTCTCTCTCTCACATTTAAGACATTGCTCTATGCACATTTAATACATTTTACCAAGCCCACTAAATTTTAGGTAGTTCCCAGTCGTGGCCGGAAGGAACGAAAGCAAAAGAACCATCCAATACCAATGGTATGTCCATCGGGCGAAAAGCTAACGGTGAGGGTTGGGGGTCTGTTTTGGTTAGATTGACAATTTGTCAAACACGTACCAACCCCCCCCCCCCCCTCCCAACTACAATCTCGAACTTTGTTCTATTACATATTCAACTTGAGCGATTGGCACAGCAGTTCACCGGGACAGGTCCATCTGAGGAAGAACCACGACAGCGCAGAGACCAGCTCGGAGTGGAATTGATATACCTCTGCGTTCCGTATGACGAGTGAGGTAACCGAAGCCCACTTTATTAATAGGCGGAATGCATCTGCAACCCTAAGGCTGTTGCAAATGTCCCCGGGCAGCGGTTCCAATTAACAACAGGTGTACCGCCACCTCGCTTGCTACCTTCGCGGATAAAAAACGCCTTCAATAAAATGTATTAGTACTACGGTTCCGTACCCAAAGGGTAAAACGGGACCCTAACACTGAGACTTACACACATTTACTCATATGGGACATTTCGGGGACATAAATCCGTGGCGCAGTTGCCAAGGTATTGGCTTCGGCGTCGGGGGTCGTGGATTCGATTCCCACACGGGACAACTATTTGTGTGACCCACAGATAGTTGTTACGCATCTGGGTGTTTGTCCGCGTGAAATTTATGTTTGTAAAACGTCCCTACAACACAGGATAATGTTATCTAACAGTAAGGGCAATGTTTTTAAAACAAAAAAAAAAAAAGAAAAGAGAATCACGCCGATATTTTATGCGACCATGAATAGCTGGCTCATAAAGGAATTCGTCAAATATTCGCTATTTTTTGCGTCGTACTCGATTGTTACGTGCATTACATAAAAATTACTTATTGAATACCAAGGACACATCCGTTTTGAAAAGAACAATTACCGTGCAAACAAACGTACGTGCGATTATTCTAGTTAATACGCAGACAAACTGAAGATGACAGATTGACAAAAAGTTGAAAGAAAAAGATACAATTGAAACCTTTTATAAGGGAAAGGAAAAAAGAATAATATTGTTAGGACCTTCAAGTCTACATCTCTTACATTTTTTTAATCCTTAATCGTGTGCAGAGATTCATTTAATATTTTAATAGGGTTCCATACCCAAAGGGTAAAGGAACCTTATCACTAAGACTCCGCTGTCTGTACGTACTGCGTTCCTACGTACAGTCGTTCCCTTTTTAGGGTTCCGTACCCAAAGGGTAAGAGGGACCCTATTACTGAAACTCCACTGTCTATCTGTATGTCTGTCCGTCTGTCACCAGGCTGTATCTCGTGAACCGTGATAATTAGACAGTTAAAATTTTCACAGATGATGTATTTCTGCTATCGATATAACAACAACATAAACACTAAATAACAAAATAAAAAATTTTAAGTGGAGCTCCCATACAACAGCCATGATTTTTTTTTTGCCGTTTTTATAGATAATATTACGGAACCGTTCGTGCGCGAATCCGACTCGCACTTGCCCGGTTTTTTTTCTACAAATGCTATGCCGTAATTTCTTATGCTTCTTCTCTTCTTTCTGATTCATCACACATACATACAAAAAAAAAATATTTCGAAGATATGTGAAGTCCGCCAATCCGCAGTGGGGCCGCGTGGTGGACTATGCCCTGATACCCTCTATATAGAGGAGGCCTTTGCCCAGCAGTGGGACATGTATAGGCTATTACTTTACTTTACGTACTTAATGCTCTACTTGTCACATAATTTCAATCTTCGTCTTCACATGCCGTGCTTTTACCATGTCTGTCCCTACCTTCTTCTCACAGGTGCCTTTTCTCACTTGTTCAAGCTTCTCAGGATTTGTAAATAACAAACAAAAAATGGAAATGTCACTGGTGCAAGTTGTTCTCAACAGGTTGCTTTAAATCGTAACTGATAGGCCACTCTAATCCCATTTTAAATAATTTCGTACATCTCAGTTTTTACCGTTAAATGGCTTGAAACAGGCGATGTTAGCAATGGATTACACTTTGATAACATCTGAAAATAGTATAATTATAACAATGATGTATACTAAATTTTTACCTGTAGCAATTCCCATGTCGGTGACCTTCAGCTGCCCCTGCTTGATCATCGCTTCGTAGTTGGGCTTAATGGCTGTGAGCTCCATGTTGTGGAGCCCGAACATTGGACCCTGCACCGGGTCCTCTTCGTAGGTGAACAGGACATGGATGTCCTTGATCAGCGCGCGTTGCACCGTCGCGTACCAAGACTGCGTCACCCTGGTTGATAAGTGAAAAAATCCATGAATATTCGAACGAGATATGACGCCATTGCTTTTTAGAAATTTCACTATTTATAGTGCATTTAAGGTTATATATGAAAATATGTAGAAAAAGTACGAAAACATTATCGCCGCTGTGGGAATCGAACCCACGTCTTCGGCACTCGCGGCCTGACGCTTTAGCCACTAAGCTAAACGGCCGATAGCCCACCGACGAAAAGCTTAACGTCCTTTATCTACATTGTTTCTTAGCATTTGAAGCAATGCTTGGCGCATCCATTGTTACATCCTTTCCAGCATACAAACAATTTCGAATATCGTTTTACAACGATATTTCGAACGAGAGATGTCGCCATTGCTTTCTAGAAATTAAATGATTTATAGTGCTAATCTCTGCACTTAAGATTAAACATGAAAATATGTAAAAAAAAGTACGAAAAGATTGTCGCCGCTGTGGGAATCGAACCCACGTCTTCGGCATTCGCGGCCTGACGCTTTAGCCACTAAGCTAAACGGCTGATAGCCCACCGACGAAAATCTAAACGTCCTTTATCTACATTGTTTCTTAGCATTTGAATAAAATTAAATGTTTCGTATTATTCTATGAAGAATAGAAAATTTCTAATGTTTCTAGAATAATATAACACCTAAGAAAGTATATGACACCAATTAATTTATAAGGTTTGTGCTTAACCACAAATAGTTTTCTCTTAATTTTACTTGAATTTTAATAAATGTCCTATTAACTAAAATTATATCACAATGTTGTACTAAAGATTGCCTCATGTCAATAAATATTATGATAAAAACTTACGTGTATAATTATAGTTCTAACAGATAATACTTTTTGAAAGTAGAGTGACAATTTACAACTAAGTTTTGTTTTGATTTTTAAATTATTTCAACATTCGATTTATGCCTGATTTATTATGCTACAATTTATTCTGCATATAACATAATGGCGGGTTTCTTTTGCATTTCAAGATTATATTATTTTCTTTCTCAAAATCTATCATCAAAATAATTTTATTTCGTTGTTATTGTTTCGGTTGTTTCACAATCGATTAAAATTATTTGTATACGAAAAACACGCATCAGTCTTATTGTAAAGAGTTTTCTTTTTAGAATAGTTTTAGAAAAGTATTTGTTACTATTTTGGTTAATTATTTTACAATATAATTTTAGTTAGTTTTATAATTGCACCTGCCTAAAGATCTCACCACACCATAGGTTGACTGGCAGAGAATGCCTAGAGGCATTAAGTCCGCCTATTGTGTTCCGTATAAAAGGAAATGCAATAAAGACTAAATAAATACCTAAATAAATAAATAAAATAGTAAGCCATGCCAAAAACCAATTTATGGCCTGTGGTCTGGTTGCCAATTGTGAGGTTCAAATATGAATAAGCTTTGCACATGCAAAAAAAAATCATAAAACAAATTAGTAACATAAGGCTTTTAATTTGAATCTGCCACTGATCACAAGTCAAGGATCCAGCCACTAAGCCACTGCTGGCCTACCATCTTTTTATGGTTCCATACCTTAAAAGATAAAAACTTAACCCTTATAAGATCACTCTCTTGCATGCCTGTCCGTGTGTCACCACCAATTTTCTCAGGAACTCCACCCGTTCCTAGCATGTTGAAATTTGTACCAGATAAACGAGGTCCTGAGTCCAAACGATAAACAGATATTAGCAAATTTATATAGTCGCGTAAACTTGAAATACCAAAATTTACCTTAATTACCAACATTTTTATTTTTCGGAATTTTCCCTTTACTTCTGCTGTAAGATTTGCCTTTAACGAAAATTGACAATTCTAGGTCAACCAGAAGTACCCTATAGGTTTAGGTCGAAAACGTACATGTTAGTTCCGTTTACCTAGAATCACGAAATTTGGTAAAAAGTAAGATTTTACAGCAGAAATAAAGGAAAAATCAGTATCTGGTATAAATTTCAACTTGCTAGGACCAACAGTTTCTGAGAAAATCGGTGGTGATTATTTACTATTTTTATTATGGCGGCATAATAGGTAGGTACGTAACCCTCGGCTTACGAATTAATGTATTTTGAATTACTTTTACTGTAAGACCAACAGATGCAGTTAGCATGTATTTATGTCAGAAGTTGGCAAGCATGCTGGCAATTCACCTGATGCAGTGACAACTGTCACGCTTGGACATTTGCAACACCTAAGGCCTAGCCGATATGCCGACTTACCTACTATATTGACTAAAGTAGGCCCCAGTTGCCTCACTCATAAAATGAAACATTACTGATGCTATTACAAATCAAAACAGTTGCTTTCAAGTAAATTATTACTATAAGCACAAATGGCCCGATAGACAGACACAATTTGCTTTAGATCTTTAACTGTTTCATGAGTCAATAAATTTATAAACTACAAAAGATAGTTATAACTTGTTGACCTACATAAGCTTTATTATTATTTTAAACATTCTAATTTTCTAATATTACCTCCGGGGCATTGTTGTCATAGCCTCCCAGTATTGATCTATGTATGGTATAATTTCTCTGTCTTTGCTGAACATTGCTTTATTGTTGCCTTCCTTGGCACTCTCTTGTTTCAGATTTGCTATGGCGGTTATACACATCTGTGGAAAAGCTGTAAGCAATTAAATGCTGTTATTTTAAAAGGAAAATTATAGAGAAAATATATTTATTTTATTAAAATTTATTTTTTTGCTATATCAAAGTAGTAGCTTGTTAAATTTTACCAAAAGACCAAAAGACTTTCTACCTACTGAAATATATTTTTAATTTATTGTTTTAACATACATTTCAAGTTTAAATAAAACATTCAACTTACGGGCTTGATTCTTTTTAAAAGTCTCAAGTCCTGTTGGTGAGCAGTTCTTACAGATGAAAAGGTAATTTGTCATAAATGGAACCAACTTTCCCAATTGGTATCCAATACATGACTCGTGGAACCATCTGTTACAGGACGCACAAAGAAGTTCTACAATGTTTAAATTTCTGTCTTTGCCACTGTAATTTAAATAAATCATTCATGTTAGCAAGTGTAAACATCACATAAAGAAAATGCAATGTAAAATGTAACGCGAAATAAAAAAATATGTTTTTGTATCAATTTTATTAGTTTTAAACTATAAATATTTATTTTACTATGTGACAATGTGCTGCCAAGCAATGACAATAAAATGTAAATGATGGACAGTAATATTGAAATAAAAATTAAGAACGCAATTTGATATGATGGGTTTAATTTAAAATATCTTAATATTTGTCTCGAAGTTCAACAAAACTAAAAATATTCCTGCTAATAGATAATATTTAAATATAATAGTATAGGTGACTAAAAGTTTCACATACCAGTAACATGTATTTTGCGCATCACCCGTATTTTTATTTTTATTCTTCTCGCCGTTTTCTCCCGCTTTTTGAGATTCGGAATGTGCATTTTGTGAGTTATTGGAGGCAATATCCATGTCAAGTGATTTCCGCATTGCCTCTGATAGCGACGACATTTTATATGATAGGTAAATATTAATAAATTCTCAGCTTACTCATAGTTTCTTTAATTAATAATTGAATAACAGATTTTATTCTGAATAACTGTAAAATACAATAACTACGAGGACATTGACAATGACAAGAACGCAAAGTAGTAGGTATTTATTTATCAATATAAATAAAAAAATATGAATTTGTATACGCTGTCCTTCTCTTTCGAACGTTTCTTATAAAGTTTGACACAAGGGTGAAAGAGATCGACACCCTTACGTCTACGTAAAGAGTGCCATTGATTTTAGCACCATTTTAAAGCAACAGTTTGAAAACGTTGATTTTATGACATTTGGTAAATATCAACAGAATATTTGAAAAAACCGAGAAATTATTACTTCCTTCGTGATTTTTCGTTAGAACCCTCAGTCACATTTCTTATATCCAATTCTGCGAATTTATCTTGTAATAGCTGCTGCCCGCGACTACGTCTGCATAGAATAGGCTGAAGGCCTAACATTCAGACAGAAAGATATTTATACATAAAAATATGTATAATATAAACTAAAGTCTCTGTTTTATTCTAATGTATAAGCTATATTATTCTAGTTTCATTAAAATCCATTCAGTAGTATTTGCGAGAAAGAGTAACAAACGTCCATTCATACATACAAACTTTCGTCGTTATAATATTATTAGTATAAATATTAGTAATCAGTATATTAGTATTAGTAATTAGTAAGGATTGCAGTAATTATTTAATTTAGTGGTAATCCAGTGATTTCTTTATATAAATGGCAGTTTGAAATTTCATATTTCAGAAATCATTGCAATTTATATTAATATATATGTGCAAAATTATGCACTAAGATATGGTTATATTTTATATTAATTAATAACAATCTCGAAATAACGCATTATGAAAACTTTAGTCTGTAACACGGTTCTAAACGATCACAGGGCTTCTTCTTGGAAGCCTATGTTCAGCAGTGGACTCGAACAGGCTGAAATAATGGTGATGATGATTAATTAAAAAGTACTTTGTGCCCACTCTGTTTATTTGTAAAATGTTGCTGGTGAATTATTCATTTATTTAACAGGGGTCACTGAGATCCAGTGGAGCGGAAGTGACATCATATTTTTATATTTTGTGTCAGAAATAATATATTGAATATTAACCGAATAGTTTAGGATGAAAGAATTTAAAATATACACACGAGACACATAAGCCTTGGCCTGACGTCCACCAAAGCAGCACAGCACTATTAAATTATATATATTTTTTTCGTTTTGTATAGTTTTTTTTTTTTTCAAAAATGTGAATATAATTTAACTCCCAATGATATTCTCAAAATATTTCCACAGTATATTTTTCTTTCTTAATTTAGGAAGAAAATTCCGAAGTTGGCATCCCTTACTATTACGTGCAGTACCAATGCACTCCAGCTTAAGGCTAAACAAAATTTAAAGGGGCCCATTCACTATCCTGCCTGGCAGTCCGCCGTGCAGGACTGCAAAGCAGGATATAGCCCACACACTATCCTGCTAGCCGCCCATCGTCTCTCAATAGTGTCAGTGTTGTTGTTGTAATAATTATGGATTTACGTGTCGTTTCGAAAAAAAAAAAGAAAATGGCGAGTTTTTCTTGTTGTTAGATAAAAGGTTTTATTAATAAATAACCTTTCCTCACATTATCATACTAATATACATAAAAATTAAGTAATAACATTAGCTTTTATCAAGTTAAACTATTTCAATATAAAATAGTTTTTGAGCTTAGTTTAAGGTTATCAAATCAGTCGGGCGTCCTGGGATGCACACGTTTTATTTTTGTCTATAAAAAAATACCTAGTCCTGTGTAGATTTTTTTCAAACCTGTGAATAAAATTTAATTCCTAAAAATATTTCTAAAAAAAAACCTCCTAAATAATTTCTATTGAAAATATTTACTGTGTAAATTTGCAAAAAAAAAACTCCTAAGTTAGCATCCATATTTTCGTATAAATGGCGTAATTTTGATAAAGGCTTAGTGCATATTTTTTTCTTCATATGGCAGCACTGCCGATTCGCGGGACGACCAAACCGACTCTCCTGCGCGGCGGACTGCAAGCGGTGGGCGGAGCTTGCAGGACCCTTGCAGGATGTAAGGCGCGTCCTGCTCGGCGTTTCAAGAAACTGTGCAGGCCTGCAACACCATTCACGATCCTGCATAGAGCGGTGGACTGCCAGGCAGGATAGTGAATGGGCCCCTTAAAGACATCGTTAACACCATGATTCGTATTTAAATGAAACACCGTTTTATGCTGTTAAGATTCAAAATTACTTAACTTATTCATAAAATCTGTTTGAAAATCTGATATTGTGAATTGTTTGCCGTACCCTTTTAACTAGTGTAATATTTGTATCTCACGCGCTTTGTCGCTCGCTACGGCTCAAGGCTAAATAAAATAGTTAAAAGATATCGTAATCGTTGATACCATGCTTAGTATTTAAATGAAACGGATCTTATTGCATACTCTTAAGATTCAAAATTACTGAACTTATTCATAAAATCTGTTTAAAAATTTGATATTGTTGCCGTACTGCTCTAACTTATGTAATATTTATATCTCTCGCGCTTCGTCGCTGGAAATCTGTTTAAAAAATTGATTTTGTGCATTGCTTGCCGTACCGCTCTAACTAGTGAGTATTTTTTCTCACGCGCTTGGTCGCTCGAAATCTGTATAAAATCAGATATCGTGGCAAACGTGTATGATGTCGCTATTCGCATTGGTATAGCGAGTGAGCGGGTATTCGATAGGTCAGATTTCGGAAATATCAGATATTGTAAAATTTTTGAAGGAGCCAGTAAGTGAATTTCGGATATTGTACCAATATATAGTTCTCGTATCTGTATACGATTTGTATCGCCTACTTCTAGACTGTATCTGTAGAAGGTTAATAATAACGAAAACATTTGTTTTGAATTTGAATTATTGTGTTGTTAAAATTTTTCAGAAGTTTCTATGTTGATAATATATTTCATATTTTATTTGTTAGTATTATTCTGTTAGATATTATACTATACTAAATGGATACTCCCAATAGTTCTGAAGATATATGTATGGATGTTAAGACCAAACAGGAGAGTATTGTTTTAGAAATGATTAAAGAGCTATGCAGTGATCCGAGAAGTCAATTGTCGGCAAAACTTGCACAAAAAGTTAATAGAATAATAGCAGAGATCGAGTTAACACATTACGCCAGTTTACACAAGTTGAGCACAGCTGATGAGAGTACTTCGACTATTTTAGGTATTGAAAATTTCACAATAATGTACGTTATGCAGAATACTACATTTTGGTATGATAGTATCCCATATAAAACTATTACTAACAGACTGACCTATAATAGTTTCATTTGTATGCTTTTCACCCCCCCCCCCCCTCCCTTTTCTACAATAAATTTTTTTATTTCTTTATATGTTTATAATTTAAATTTATTGAAAATTATTTTCTATTTTTTAGTTCGTAAAGTTATATTACAGTAAAATTATATTTCTTTGAAATAAATTTGCTTTCAGGTGTAATGCATCAGTCAGCCACTGAATTAACATTTGATGAACAGTCAGAACTAAATCATGCAATTGTGAACAAGATTCAGTCAAAATTGCCTGCATTTGTTGTGGAATTAGATCATCTCCAGCAAACTCTTAAAATGAAATCATCTCAAGGGGGTGAAATTAGCAATCTGCGGGAAAGTCTCAATGATAAATTTAACTCAATACAAAGTCAAGAAAGTGAAAAGGTAGAGCTGATGATGGAATGGATAAATCACAGACTTCATGATGTATCAAAGTTTAGTGAGAACTCTAATGAGCTTCAAACACTTAAAACTAAAATTCTAGATCTGAAATCAAAGTAAGTTAAATGCAATTAATAAAAAACTTAATTAAAAGTAATATCTACTTTAAAATTATTACTACATATTATAAAACAAAGTTGCCCCGCTGTCTGTCTGTTCCTATGTATCCTTAGATCTTTAAAGCTACACCCATTGTGTATCTTGATGTGGTTTTTTTACTAGTTGTTTGTTAGAGTGATTCAAGAGTGATTCCCATGCGAAGCCAGGGTGTGTCGCTTGTGGTGTATAATATAAATCTACTTGATTGTGATCTTTATTATCAATTCTTATAATTTACTAGCTAAACCTTTTACCCATAAACAAGTTTTCTTGTGAATAAGATTCATTGAGGAAACATCATTTAGCTCAATATCCTCCCTTGCATCGCTGTGATTATGCTGTGAAATGCATGGAAAAGAATTTCACTTTTAGTATAGCTTTATACGTATAATTTATTTATTTTTTGGTACTTAAGTCACAAAATACAATCTAACAGCAATTACCTATATTGGCTAAAAAATTTATTTATTGATATTTCAATTTCAGAATTCTTCATTTACAAATATTACAAAACATTTACACGGAAACAAACCAATCAATTAAAGCATATGGTGAAATCCATAGACAACTTAAAGACAGTATTATGGAGACGGAGCAGAGAATCAAAAAGTTCAAGGATATTGTGGAGAGAGATTACAACTAAATTGTATTAAATCATAGTTTTTATATTTATAACCATTGTCATACTTTATTAATTATATTTTTCTAATCAAATTGTATTTTATTTCATAAATAGTACACATATAATTTACTTACGCACAATAAATATCTATATCCTTCTATATCTATATCCTTGTTCATGGCATCAACCTTATATCATAGTCTAGCGACCCGCCCTGGCTTCGCACGGATGGTAATTGTCAATTTTACGTCATCTATTGCCGAAAACTATGTTAAAATCCATTGCGTAGTTTAAAAGATTAAAGCATACAAACAGCGGGGGCAACTTTATTGTGTACAATGTAAAGATCAAGAACCCTTGGGACTCGGCGACTCGATTGGCGTAGGGAGTAGTGAACCTGCCTCTTGCGCCAGAGGGTGTGGGTTCGATCCCGAATACTGGAGAAATATTGTTTGATGAACATATGTGTTTTTCCAGGGTGTTTATGTGTGTATAATATGGATTTATTTACAAAAGAAAAGTATCTTTATCAGTTTTCTAGTATCCATAAAACAAGCGTTGCTTATTTTAGGACTAGCAAACGTTTTGCAGAAATATGTCCGCAATATATATCTAGCAGGTATAATTGCTCTGCCAATTATATTATCAACATTTTAAATATTGTACAACTACACGTACACTGTACAACTGTACGATACTACAATATATTTATTGTAGTATCGTCCATATTTAAAGCAATGGAATTCTAAAGTAAAAGCTCTGAATTATATCGTTTCCCTTTTTTTCGTTTTCGCAAACGGGCAGTAGGATCACCTGATGGAAAGTGATCACTGCTGCCCATAAACAGCAGCAGATAAATTATATATTAATATTAATAGTCGTTCATACTACTAAAACTTTAATCTTTGTATCATTAATTTCCATTGCGTGCGTCCATTTACGTTATAATGTTTATTTACCGCCTGTCCTTAACTAAATCGGTGAACTTATTAACTTGACAAACAAATGCTGTTATGATGTAAATATGCATGTTTATTTGCCCGATAACGCGGCACATGCGTCCTATTGGAAAACAATGCACTTGCACACCGTGTTCCGGTCTTTCTGGAGTAAATGGCATTGATAAGATAAATACTCCAATGTGTAAAACTCTGTGTAATTTTTTTTTGTAATGGACACGCAAGAGGACTTTTGACCAGTATGGGCTAGACAGAGATAACTGGCCGCAATATAGCCGTATCTACCCTATAGCCGTATCCACCCTTTACCGAGCTTAGTGTAGAATTTAAAATGAAGTGTTTAGCTTATCGTAGTACAATGTGTGGTGTTGAAGTCGACGTGGTTAAAGCTCTTTGTCATTGATCCCCGAATTCATTAGCCCATCACTGTTGTTAAAGATTAAACGATTATTAAACATCTTTGTTTCTTTCTTGGCAATAATTGGTAAGTTCGATTCAAAGGTTACGTGGAAGAAATTACTTTTTGTAATAAGCCCGCCCATAGTGCCCATTGTTTTTATTTTAGGCTTTTGATTTTTGTCTATTTCATTTTTGGTGTGCAATAAAGTATATCTATCAATTCTTTCGTTCATCGAGTCATTAATTTGTGGTTGTGGGGTGTATTAGAAATGTTTTCACTAATTTTACTTCCTTATAGTGCTCAGAGTTGAAGATTCGACTAACGTCGGTAACTTTTTTTTATCAAACATCACCCTCACTGTAGAATAAGATAAATTTGTTGTAGAGGCTTTATAAAAACAAAGTAAACAAAGAACCAGGTCCCGAACAATCTACGTCATACAAATACTTTTTTCAAAAGGGGAATTCAACCCAAGATCCGTGGTGCCGGTCTTTAGCTCAGCATTTAGGTTAAACGAGTCATTGTTTGTATTACATACGTCTCCAGGTAATTCCTAACATTTACATAGTTACGTTTAACCCTTTGTTAAACGTAAATATGTAAATCGTCTGCAAAACGCATCTGTAATACGGTATTTTAGCCTATCGCCGATTTTGATTTAACCTACCTTTAACCTTGAAGCTTAGCAGCATCTGATCATCTGAAATTCGTGAACACGCAAAATTGCCACGGCCTCAAGACCGGCGTAAACAAGAAGTGTTCACGTGTGTAACTGATCATTCTGATCAACTCAGAGTTAAAAATCCTATTTTATTTTTATTTTATGCGAAAAGTTGTCAAACGAGCAGACGGTTCACCTGATGTTAAGTGAAAACCGCCGCCCATGGACATCTGCCACACCCGAAGGTTACAGATGCGTTAACAACCTTTTGAAAATTGGGCTCCGGCTACCTCACTCACCAGTCGAAACGCGAAAGTATTTGTAAGTCCTTTTGGCAACTCAAATAACATTTGAAAATCCATTTGGCAGCTGATTAGTTAACTTCTACGATGATCAGTGTTTCAGTAACCGGGCGTCATTGCGATGGTTACCACGCCCCATCAGGTTAACAGCCGCATCCTTTCCTACATTCTTAAGGGAAACACTTTTAAGTATTCAATTATCTTATGAGGTCATAAAGTGCACATTAAGGTGGGAGCATCGCAGCGAAGAAAACGGCGAAAGGAAGTTTTCCTTTGTTACTTTATCTGATCGATTACAATATTAAAAATGTTTAATATTATTGTTATATCACAAAACCGCTCATTGTGGTAGGTATGATTTTCTAATGACAATACATACTAGATACTTTGTTGTTGGTGTTTTTGACTTTATAGAGATCAAGTGTGAAAAGATCAAACGGCTAAAGTATATTACATCTATTATAATCAATAATGATGACGTGTTTACGTACGTGAAGTGAATTTCAAATTTATCGCACTATTGTATCTCAAAATAAATAGTTAATTTAGTTTGCTGAGAATATGACGCTGGGTCGATGTATTGTTGAAATAAATCGTGAAATAGAAATTGCTATTTTTACTCCTCGCAGAGAAGAGTATAATACTTCTACTTTACTTGAAGCAGTGGTACTTTCCGGATGATGTTGCCCATTCATTCGACGGCAGACGTTCCTGCGTGATAAAACCGCATTGTTTTATCATTTATAATTATGTTTAATATGAATAAAGGGTATTTTTAATTTGTTTTTAATCAAAATTGTAAAATTTAAATTTATAAAATACAAAAAGTTTACGTACAACCAGTGTTCGAGTAGTATAAGTAATTACTAGCGAAATTAGTTAATCACACATGGGACATGTTATACTTTTTTTTCACTTTTTACTTGGTCCAAACTTGGACCAAATGACTTAGTACTTGGTCCAAACATGGAACAAATGACTAAGTACTTGGTCAAAACCAATACAATGGATTAACTTATTGCTAAGCGATGGAAAGTAATCTTAATGGTTACTAAGGACGCTTACTACGTATTTCCCATCTGTGACTGCGTGTTTGTGTGTGCTGTGTGCGCCAAACGAACAAGTATTAATCCGAGTTCAATTCCTGCGGGCTGCTATGTAAACTGTAACCGTTCTAAAGGACAAATATTATAACTATTTGTGTCAAATTGGCAATACTTTGAAGGCATTCCAAACGTAGAATATTCGGTCAAGGAATGTCAATTAAAACGCGAAACATTGATAATTCTAAATTAATTCTTCATTTAGTTAAGGTTCTGAAAGCCAGTTTTTAACGTTCTAATAATACTCCGCGAAAAGACATATTCATAACTTTTACACAACGAGTTGATTAAGCCCTTAATTCATAAGGCAAATGGCGACCTCTCTGTCCACCCAGTGAGGCTTTAAAGACGAGAGAACTCTATTTCTGAAAGAAATAAGTCACAACTCGACCCCGAGAGGCCGCGGACGTTGAACGCGCACTGGGGACAAAACTTTGCACTTATCTAAAACTACACAGATATGAATCACACGTGTTGCAAGCTCGAGGAGTACATAAGTCACAAAGCAGTCACATCTCGTCTGCCGTGTCGTGTGGGCGCGTTCATTGATTCATCAGTTAAATTGTGCTCCGTCGCCGCAGACACGCTGAGCTGTGGCAGTCGAGCGGAATGCTTGAAGCGGCCATCGGGATATTTCAGTACGTATTCCTAGTTATTTGAAACCGCACGCCAGCCGTTAGTTATAATTGGCTGTTGCAGGTCACACTCGTTAGATTTTAGTAAAGAACCTTGTTTGGAAAATCGTTGAAGGTAGACCGCGAAATTCTGGCGGCTGTTCTTCAACTTTTTGTTTATATTTTGATATGTAATATATTTTGATGATGCCACTTTGTTGATACATGGATTTATTATGCCTCTATTCGTTATAGCACAATATCCTTTGTCATTCATTTTAATCGACTACGCAGTCATCGAGCGTGGAATAATATAGCATAGGGACTCAACTCAGAGATTGATTTATAAAAATGTAGTATTAATATAACGCAGAAGAATATTTAAATTAAAATTGTTTAAGTTGTGACATTAAATTTTCAATTATTTGAGATTATATCAAATCATAAATATATTAATTCTATAGTCTGTGAAAATAAGTTGCCTAACAAACCAATGTTTGCATAGTGATAAAGTTTAGCCCCAATATTTTTCTATATTTCAAGTAACATTTTTGTGGTATTTACATTATCACATCATAATCTTTTCGTAGATAAGTGACATCCACGAAACGGTTATCGCATATTTTATAATCATTTTGGCTCTAACAAATGTAATTTAAAGCAATATTATGAAAGTAGAACTTATGCCAGGCAAATTTAGCAAAAATACAAAGTTCAACAAGAGAAATCATGATACAATCATAAATCACAAATGAATAAGTTTTCGAGAAAAACCAAAATTCTAGTTGATTTTACCATTTTTAACTCTAATTTTCAATTTCTTTTCATTTTTCTATACTCTTCCGTTAATTACTAAGCGGTAAGCTATAGGATTTGTGTGGATTTAAAATTATATATATTAATAGAAAATGTTGACACATAAAACTTTGTCATTCTTTGACATTCTTTGGGTCCAAAATTAACAATAGTTCCAGGCGATTTGAAGTGATAACTAACCTGCGATTTACCGTTATTTTAACCGTTAGATTAACCTGCGATTTAACTGATACCGAACGCAAAAATGGAATAAAATTTACTATTTAATTGTCATCATTGAATTTAAGTTATTACTTGCAGCCCTTCCGAGTCTTGATTATGTTTAATAGTCGTTACATGGTAAGAAAAGTCGTTTTCAACGTGCATTAAAATCTGGTCATTTTAGTTTCATTTAGTATCATGTGTATCGTAGTATCATGTGAGTCTTTAACCACCAATCTGTTTTTTTTCGTGATCACATAACAATATATGATATTGATATTCATGCCACTGATGGTTAATTGTTAGAATCTAATATTTTCTTGTAAAGTTGTCAAAATTAATACCGTGGGCATAATTTTCTCCTAAGTCAATTTTATGTCATTAAAATTTAATTATCCCAAAACTAACCCCAAAGAAACCCAAAAAGAAGAAATTTTGATCGATCTACATTGTGTGGAAATTTCCACAATTTTTTTGGAGACTACAGGTTGCAAATTTATTTTCATTTTCATCGTCGACGTCCATCTCCGCTTGTTTCGCACGCTTGTTATAACTTCCCTCCAGTCCCCCAACTTCCTCTCGAATGGATAACCAAGCTAACGTTAATTATTGCCTACTGGGTCCATCGATTATGTAGCATTTACATTTGTACCACTTCGCCAGCGATTTCGTCCGTGAAAATTATGATAGCTCGGCCAATTTGGATGATGTGATATAAATATAATTTATTTCACCTGCGTAGTTCCTTAGACAATACAGAGATAAAATATAGTTTATGTTAGCTTTCCATTATTGAACGAATTGTTTTAAATCGGTACAGTGCTTTTTGAGGTAAGTCGTAACAAACAAACAAATATTTTAATATTTCCTCTTTATAATATTATAATAATATAGATAAGATTATTTCATCCAGTGGTATATAATGTTTTTTTGTTTTTTTCTTTATGTGAAAAGTTGCCAAGCGATCAGACGGTTCACCTGATGTTAAGTGAACACCGCCGCCCATGGACATCTGCTACACCCAAGGGTTGCAGATGTGTTGACAACCTTTTGAAAATTGGGCTCCGGCCACCTCACTCACCAGACGAAACGCGAAACTACTTCCACTTTACGCCGGTCTTCTGTGAGTTCGTGGTACTTACCCGGACGAGCCTGCCCATTCGTGCAACAGCCGAGACTGCGGCGTGGCCCTGCCACCGTAGTTAAGTCAAGTGTAGTGAAAATATTATGTTCTGTTATCATCTTTCTTCTGCCTTTATCACACTTAGATCGCGACGGCACAACATCGTGTTTGTGGTATTATAGGCTTGGATTTTTTCGACCGTCAGTCCGTCTGGCCTCATCCCGCCTTGGGAACAAATCCCCAGATCTGGAACAATTTTTCTTTGGGTCACAAAAATACTTGTCTTGTTTGGGAATCGAAATCATGACGACTTATTAATTTCAATAAATGATACTAATTGTCGACCCGTACACAATTTTCACATAATACTGTGACCAGTCACTTAATATTTTTACAAATTCTCAAAGGTGGCATTACATTCTTGAAAACATTGACTTAATTTACCATGAACATATCAAACTGTAGCCCTTTCGAATCACTAAAGTAATGAGTATATTAATTTTATCTATGGGCCGTTGACTGAGGCAACAGTGGTTAACAACAGCCTTTTAAGCCCCCGTGGAGGTGGGCAACGCATTCGCCATGTGGAATTACACAGGTGCGTCCCAATTCCGTGTTATTCACTTAATTTAGACGAACCACTTTTTTGTTTGATCCCTAAACAAAATCTCTAAGTCTGGTTCTGTTCCAGCTACAATTCCCTTATTTAAATAACGCACTTTCAGTGATTTTACAGTGTTTATTACAAAATCTTGTAAGTCTGGTTCCGTTGCACCCACCATTCTTTAACCCTTATTTAACGTGGTTATTTCAGCCGCGTATCGGAGAAAGTGGGCATAGAATGGGCTCCGATGAACGTTCCAACATCGCGCCGCCTACAGACTCTCGGGGCTACGGGCTGGATATGCCTGGTGCTTTTCGGGGAAGCGGCCAGCATCGTGCTGTTCCTCAGCGTCCTTTACTCCTCTCTGTGGTGGCTCGCGCTCTTGTACGCGATCTGGATGCTGAGGGACATCGACACGCCTAACAAAGGTGGCCGCAGGTAAACCTTCTTCATACAGACTACATCTACATTAGACACTCAATTGTTCAGAATGTTTAGAAATAATTTATATGCTAGATAGTCGATATAACTTGATAATTACTCTCAATTGTGCTTACATGAGGATAGAACCAATAATATTATATACAAATTATTGGTATATATTACATTAGCGCGCCGAAAGTGAGGCTTTCATATTACGGCAATTGGAGTAATTTCTTTTCTGTTCGGTCCGATTCTATCTATGGCTAGCGTACGTCGAATGCTAACTCTAGAGACCGCTATCTCTTTCCGTATCATATGTTTTATATCATCTGTTATATGTCATATAATAGTGTAGGTAAAACGTAACAATTTTAAACGTCGCGCAGTATGGACATGCGTCATATTTGTTAAAACATCACTGGATAAAACGGTACAATTGACTCAATCGTTGAAAATACAACGAAAGGAAGAGTAAAAACCGAGATAAACTAAATTAAATAATTTTCCTGCCTATATAGAAGTTGTAGGAAACGTTCCCTGAAATGTTCCGTTGCATCCTTCAAGGTTCGAATGGGTGAGGAACTGGTCGTGGTGGCGACACTACCGGGACTACTTCCCGATCAAGCTAATCAAGACTGCCGAACTGGATCCGTCAAAGAACTACCTGTTTGCGTGCTTCCCCCATGGCGTGGTCTGCGCGGGGGCCTTTGGGGCGTTCGCTACCAACGCTCTCGGCTTCCATAAGAAGTTCCCCGGGATGGTGTGCCACATGATAACGCTGGGCGGGCACTTCCTCGTGCCCCTGTTCAGGGACCTGGCGCTCGCCCTGGGCTGCTGCTCCTCGTCGCAAGAGAGCCTCCTGCACTTGCTGGACAGGAGGAAACAGAGAGGAAACTGCGTCGCCCTGATCGTCGGCGGTGCCGCTGAGGCGCTGGACTCGCATCCGGGCGAGTACAAGGTCATCCTTACCAGGCGCAAGGGGTTCGTGCGCGTCGCAATGAAGTCCGGGTGAGTGGTACTCTTTGATCTACTTGATACGATCCGTTAGGCGCGGTCGATGGTGAACCTTTCTCTTACGCCAGATGATGCGAGCTCGATTCCTACTGGAAAACTGGTCTTTTAACTAAACGATAGATCTTTATCATTTTATTTATATAGATTGATGGAAACATAGAACATTTGTTTGCAACTATGTAGCATACTTTATACTTTCCCAGGTCAACACATTGCGGTAATCAAAAAGTAGTATAAATGTATTTTGACATTTAATATGCATTCATTAAGGCATACATTACGGGCCTCAATTGGCAATTTTGAATTCAATTTTTTATACCAGATGTCAACCGTGTGTTTGCCCTCAAATTTTTCCCACATCAAAAACGTAAAAGTGGTAACAGCTTGGGCCAGGCTACTTCAATTCAAATCTTTGCCCAGATCTCAAATAAATACTGCAATCATTTGCTAATAATTCATTATGACATCAGCAAACAAAAGAAAAAGAAAAATAAATATAAGTTAAGAAAGATAAGTATAAAACAATATTATCACGTCACTACAGTGGTGAAATTTTTACTTGTATTAAAGGCCGCGGTGGCTAGCTAGCTTGTCCAAATATTTGTTTGACACAGATGGTCCACAGATAATCTACATCAGAGTATTGGTCCGTGTACGTAAGATTTAGAATGAACTGTAAAGACGGCGGTCTGTGTATCCTTTTTTTTAAATGCTTTAAATAGGCTGGGAAGTATTTTTTTAACATAAATTATTTTTATAACGACACACAAAAAGATAGTAATCGGACCGAGCATCAAGGTGGACTGTCATAAATTAGCTAAAGTGTTTTATATGCACAAGCTCCATACAGTGAATACTTAACAGAACCTAAGGACGTGTTCAAACAAGTGTTTTGCCTTTTTCCAAAGTAATCATCATCTAAGGTTATATTCAAAATTCAGAAGGTCCTCTCTCAACGTTTCAGGGCACCTTTAGTGCCAGTGTTTTCCTTCGGTGAGACGGACGTGTTCCGCCCGCTGAACAATCCACGCGACAGCCTCCTAAGGAGGTTCCAGGAGAAGGTGCGTCAGCTGACAGGCATATCGCCTATGTTCCCCATAGGCAGGGGCGTCTTCCAGTACTCGTACGGGGTCGTTCCCTTCCGCTCGCCCGTCACCACGGTTGGTAAGTGCTCGCGTCAATGTATGCGCAGTCGATAACTCTCCATTGATATTCATTTTTAGGGAAAAGCAAAAAAAAGGAACCCTTATAAGATCACTCTCTTGTACATCTGTCTGTCCGTGTTACTAAAAACTAGGTAAAGGCAACGCATTTGAGTTTAAAGTTATTACTTGTCTATTAATTAGAAAAATAGAAAAACAACTCTGGGGCTACAAAGACCACTTTAAATTGTTGCCCAAATTGATTGGTGGAAGAATTTTATTTCATTAGTTTTCCGCGACATGATGAGGTTTTCTATTTTCGGCAGGCTAATAAATAAATTTAAGAGCAGTGTTTGATTTGCAGATGTAAATAGACGTACAAGTAGTCAAATATCTCTTTCAGTTGGTGTCCCAATGGAGGTTGAAAGAAACCTCGACCCCACTGACGAGGAAGTGGACATTGTGCATGCGGAGTTCACAAAGCGACTGACAGAGTTGTTCGAGAACGAGAAGGCAAGGTATTTGAAGGATCACGAGAAAGTGCATTTAGTAATAACTTAATAGGGACCGTGTGTTCGAAACATTGCGTTCTTACAAAAGACGTCGGTCGATGTGATGGTTTAAACGGTGTTATGATTAATAAGTGTTGTTGATGATAACATAGCTCAAAAATTTGCAGCTGAGTTACTTGTATCTGGTTTTCGATTACGTCGTGTTTAATTCTCTTGTTGAGTCGAAATTGACATTACATTTTGCAATTTTGTTGAGTATTGAGGTTAATGTTCGAAATAATCTTGGTTTATAGTGTATGTCAAAATTAGAATAATAAGGGTACGGTTGTTCGCTTTTGTTCAGTTGTAACGTTTTTTTATAATAATTTTGGTATAGTTATTTTGTAGTTCTAAAACGATTATACAAATTTTAATCGAATCAGTGTATACTGGATTGGTTATATATATATATATATCCGTAAGAGATACTTAGGTACGTAAAGCGAATATAGTCAACAGACTTTATGAGAGATATGCGAAAGATCTTTGAGCTAAATAATTTTGAGATAATTAATTAATTAACTTATTGCAATTTGTTTTGAGTAGGTTAATGGCCAGTGGCGACTTTACCGTAGTTTTCCGTTTTACGAATTTTCTTACGAGCACTAACCTCATTTGCGCCCAGTATGGCAACAAGGTTAATCCTATATTGTTTGGGAATATAAAATGGTTTGGGTCGGGGAGGCGTTTATAGATGATTGTAATATGATTGATTATTATGTACGCTTAAATTAAATCGATATTGCAAGTAGCAAATATAATTGCTCCGTTATTTATATAACCCTCGTTAAGGAGTGATAATAGACTGATATTATTTTATAGGGAAAGAGTAAATACTGTTCTGTGGTTGATAAATAAAGTTTTCTTCATAAAACATGCATTTGTTTCATTTTTATTAATTCAATTTGACGATACATAAATTTTGAATTAACTTAAACAGGATTAAACTTTTCAAAAGATTTAATTTATTAGATGGCAAGTGGAGGTGGACAAATAAAAAGGAACATTTTACTGTTTTTATGAGTTTTAATATATTTACATTTTATATACATTATTCATCATTCCTCATGAAGTTGAGCATCTTCGAAGTCGGAGGTTTTATAAACAAGAAACACCGTTCAGCGGCCTTATTCATAATGAACAAAATGTTTATTTATACATTAATATTGCTCTTTATGGAGATAAGAAAATTTTGAGAATTATTCATTATTCCCGCACTGGCCGCGATATATTTAGCTAAAGATACGGATACTGAACAGAGACTTATTTTTACTCACTTAAATCCATATTATTGTATTGACACCTACCACAATTTTTTATCGCGTCATGGCTGGGCCGGTAGTGAATGTCAATTGACGTTGAGTAATCCTTATATAAGGTGTTTGAAATAAAGCATATATAAAACTATTAAAGTAACTCTTTCTTTTTAATTTTATAGGACAAATGTAGGTAAACGTATTTAGAATAAAATGGAAGAGTAATATATTACTGATGGGATTATGTAAATGAAAGAGAATTGATGTAGATATTTTTCATAGATACCCAAAGATAATAAAAGTGTTTCCATATATATATATATATATATAAATACGACGTCAAACTCTGGATGTCTTCTGTCAATCATAGGCGGGAATGATTTATGAATGATGACTTTAAAAATTGTACCGAATGAAACGTCCCTTGTAAGCAAACATTATGTGAAACGGGTACAAGGAGGGATATTTCTGATAATGTTTTCGGCTTCAACTCACGCTTTTTTCTTATTTCTTCAAAAAATAATTTAAATTGTCTAAAACCTAGTTTCCGTATGTCTTACTGCACTGCAAGTGTAGTACTGATTAATCAGGACTACACTTTGTTAATAAAATTTTTTGAATTAAATAAATAAGACTATGGGAAGAAAAGAATTCCAATTTATAAAAAGTAATATTTATGCCGTTTGCTTGTTGCTCTAATTGTATAAAAGGTAATTACTTCTTACGATTCACTTAATTTCCATATATTTTGATAAGTAGATTTAAAACTAAAACCATCGAATAATATAAAACATTTCTTCATATTTCGGAGGCCTCAGTGTCATTTATCTATCATTACACTAATCGCTGCAAAGAATGCTCGCAAACAAATGTTTAAGGCTAATTTAGCTGTAAATTATATTAGTCAATTAAAATCAAAATGTGTACCCATAGCCCGTTACACAATATTAAACAACATTCCAATAATTTGCATAAACTTAATAACTCTACAAACTTTTAAATAAGATTTTATAAACGATTTAATAAATCAAACATTAAATTACTGTCCCAAGAATATGTCGCAACGGGATATGGCTACGATGTAACTATTAATAATTCTATAACCCCTATCAAATTAAAAGTTTGATCCCAAATACACAATGTTGTCACAAAATCTGATGTCACGATCATGATATGTTGTAACGTACTTACTACACACGGTAAAGAAATGTTTTTACAGCAGACCAGAAGGTCGGAAGTAACAATAGTTAAGGCAAAGTCTTTGTATGGGGCTCCTCTCACGCTTGCTTAGGATGCTGAGTGGAAGGCGTTGGTGAAGGCTTGAAACACTGGAGCAAAAAAGCGGTGTACATGATGAACGCAACGGATAATGCAATCAACGCGTACATAAATATGTTTAGCTCCGGTTGTCGGAACCTATTCTTCCGCAGCCACTCCAAAACTTCGATTTCGGACATGATGTCGCCTGGAAAGAAAAGTTTGTTTATTAGGGACGGAACACATTAGCTTCTAAAGCTAGAAGTATAGATTCCCACCTCTGTATATGCTTGGAAAGCGTTTTCTGAAGTAAACAATAGCAGGCAATTTCGTGACACCCCATTTACGCGCGTAGCGTGGATCTTGCATTTTCACAAAGGTTATATCCAAATTGTCCGTCTCGCTATCTATATTTTCCAATTTATCCAGCACAGCTCGGCTCTCTGCAGATTTTTCATCTAAGGCACGTAAGAAGTAAGAGGTAAGAAGCGTATTTAGTGATACAACGGTATCAAGAGCATTTATACTACTGAGATACGTACAGAAATAGACAGCCAAGAATTCGTTCTCATCCAAAAGTTTGTCGAGCATTTTCCTGTTCACCTCCTCAATTTCGTTTTTGATCTCAAAAACGTCTTGAGAAGTCAGCCATTGGAGTACTTTATCCACTTGGTGCAAATCACCATCGTAGAGCATGGGCACGCGTTTGCGAAAATATACCAATGACGGAATATTCACAACGTTATGCTTAGCCGCCGCTTCGATGCTGGCGATCTTTACGAAATCAATACCGTATTGATCTACTTCCCCGTCTATTTGCTCTAGCGCTTCAAGGATTTCCTCGCACTCGGCACAATCTTCATCGTCGTCTGAAATGTGCCATTAAACATTTTATTCCGTGATCACTGTCCGGGCGCTCACTTTTAATCAAATATTCTAGAGCAACCTGGGTTCGATCCTCTGTGCCGGCACCAAAGAAAGTGTTAATTTTAAGTGCTGACTTATCACGTGCTCAGCGGAGAAGGAAAAAAATCGTGAAAAAACTTGCATATTTTCGAAATAAAAACCAAAAAAAATTGAAAATATGTGAAGTTCGTCAATCCGCACTGAGGTCGCATACTACTATGCCTTACTACCTTTTGTACAAAGGAGGTCTTTGCCCAGGAGTGGGATATTTATAGGCTGTAACTTTACTTCTAACTTTTGCATTCTGCTTATAAAATAAAAAGCAAGCTGTGAAAGAAAAATAAAATAACACAATAAAATAGTTTAAAAAACTTGTGTCACAGATTCAAAACAAAGGGTATGTGTCTTAGTCTGAGCTATGGAACTAGGTTGTCTGGTTACTGCTTTGCGACGCCCATGGTAACTAACCCATGATTACAAAAAATCTATTGGATGAACAACAATTATGAAAATTATAACGTAATGATCTAGTTAATAGTATTATTAATATCTAATTGATACATACAGAAAAAGACTACTAGTAAATGTGATTCATAAAGTAGCCTTTCAAGCATTCTGTCATTGACCGATTCAATTTCATCTGCCAGTTCTCGATTATCGTCGTCAACGAGCCATTCTAGTATCGACTCTTCATTTTGCAAGTCACCTTCAAAGAGAAGTGGATTGCCGTTTCTGTCGGACAAATTTTAAATATTATATCAGCAGAGTTTAATAAAAGATACCGTGAATACTATACAAATATACCTGAAATAAACCATAGCTGGGAAAGTCTTTATTGAATATCGTTTTGCAAGTTGTGGATCTTGTATTTTAACCATGTGTATTCCGTACACATCACATTCATCATCAATTTTTTCCAAACCCTCAAGGATGTGATCACATATATGACAATTTAATTTATCTGTAAAAAAGGTGCTATTAATATGAAATTAAATACCTTAATAAATAAAATAACTTTAAAATTATAAAAACGAGTATTACAGAAGTAAACTGCTAAATACTGTGTTTCTTCAACCATTTTCTCTAACATTACTCTAGTTATGAGTTCGATACAATCTTCAGTTTTCTGAGTAATAAGCCATTGAAGAACCTCTTCCTCTTCTGCCAAAGAGCCCTCATATACATTTGGCACATTGTGTTCAAAATATACTAAGACAGGAAAATCTGCCACACCATATGCTTCTGCTATCGAGTAGTCTTGAGTTTTAACGAATTTTATATCGTGTCTGTCACAGTCGTCATCAATATTCTCTAGCTCTTCTAGTATTCCTGCGCATTGCTCACAATCGAGGCTATCTGAAATGTTTGTTTTTTTATGAAAATTAATTTCATTTATAGTAAAACGGAATGTAAATAAACACAAGGTTTGTTTCAACGCGTGCCATAATTCTCATCTTCTCTAGTCTACTTTAATAAACGGGTATATCAACGCTTAAAACTCAAAACCAGGTCACCACAAATATGACGTATAAGGGTATCATTACACTAAGCTAATGAAAAACAAATATCTACAAAATCAATGATTCTATATGACGAATCCAAAAACTAATATAGGTGCATTTTCTTATATCTAGTAATGTGCATAAGCGTGCTCCATGCGACGAAGGATCAAAAAATTCATATGGGATAAACAGTGACAGGATATAAAGACACGTTTAAGGGATAAAGTACCCTCTACATTCTGCCCTTCTTCATCTTCATGTCCTTTGTCTTTCTTTCTTATCGTTTTTTGCAAGGCTCTCAAATTGCATATTTCACATAACGTCTTATTCCCTAATAAAAGTACATATCCGTTATTAGTATTTTAGTTACACATAGATTACAAAATAACCTGTCGCTTTACTATGTTCAAAACCTGTGTAAATTGGAGTTGCAGCAAGTGAATAGAAAGTTTAAGAAATGAGTTGGAGTTACCGTGTTAAATTTAGACAGAAAAGAAGGAATAAGTGATTGTTGTGTTAGGTATTTTCATTTTTAAATGTTACTCACAAAAATAAACTGCTACCGATCCTGATTCTTCAATCAATTCTATCAAATCTTTTCCTTCAAGAGCTTCTATAACGTCACCAGCTGGATTTTTCTGAGTTAACAGCCAACTCAACAACTGTTGTTCGTCATACAAGTCACCTGTAAACAGTTTATGCACGTATTTCGGACATGCATTTATAGAGCTTATGAAACTGTATGTGATAGCATTTTACTTTAATTGTAATTAATTATGTGTAATTAATGTACCTGCGTATATGACGGGATCCTTGGATCCCAATTTAAAGAATAAAACTGCGGGTAGAGCAAAAACACCATATTCTTTAGCCATCTGCCTATCGTCGATTTTCACGAAGTTAATTCCAGCTCCGTCAGCGTCATCATCGATGTGCTCTATCTCAGCCAAAACTCTTGGGCACTGTTTGCAGTCATTACTGTCTAAAACATGTAATACGTGCAATACCATTTCAATTTTTTTAAATATTAGCGTACCAATGGATTCTACCGTGAAATGACTTAATTAAACGGAAATAAATCTTAACCAGAATTGGAATTAAAACGTCAAATCCCATCGATCTTATTCAAGGAATTATATAAATAAAAGGTTTATTTTAAACGACCACTCACAAAAGAAAACCGCAACGTAATCAGATGTTTGTCTTATTTTCTGGAACATCTTCCTATTGACTTTCTCTATGTGATCCGTTAATTCCATGTTCTCTGGGTTTGTTAACCAATCTAATATCTCTTCTTCGTCGTCGATATCACCATCATAATTTATGTATTTCGTTTTCCTAAAATATGTTATGCCAGGTGGATTACGGAAGCCATATTTTTTTGCCATTAGGCGATCACTACATTTGACAATTTTTATTCCATATTCCGCAGCTTCATCGTCAATTAGTTCCACGTGTCTTAATACTCTTGGGCTGCCTGGGTCGTCTTCTCTATCTACAAGTTATATACATCATTTTTATATTTCAAAAATTTAAGAAGTATAAAGATGCAACCAAATAAAATTCACTCACAAAAGACAACGGCCAAAAATTCTTTAGTCTCTATGTATTTGAATAGTTTATCTCTATCTATTTCTTCGATGCTTTCATCTTCTTTTTGTTTTACCATCCAATCCAGAACTTCAGATTCATCCAGGAGATTTCCTAAAATTTTTCCAATTACTTCAATGCTGAAATGCTACACATTAAAAACGTAGATCGCAAGAAACCACATCCATTAATTGTATTAAAACTTACCATTGACATCCAAAAATGGGCATGCTCGAACATAACTACAGCAATACCATGCCGACATCATTCGTGTGTAAAGAATGTAAATAAAATAAATACAATAATAGAAAATTGTATTTATTTAACAAAAAATATTATATCAGCGCCGTTACAACAATTAAATGTAACAAATAAATAATTAAACATCCATGCTAATTTCGATCAAACAATACAACCTAACGTTAATTGTTTCACAGCGCCAGTAAAATTAGAGGATAACAAAACTTTGTGTGATGATAATGTTTCACATCGACTCTTTATTATCTGACACCTTTTAGCATGCTCTAATATTGTATAGGATCATGGATAAATCATGAGTTTTAAGAGACGTGACACGAACATTGCTATTGCGTTTGTTGTCTTGTTATGGTCATTAATGGTGGTTTTTATTCAATAATATGAATCAATGATTTAAAATCTAGGTAAAAAGTTATTTATCAAATAGAAAACAATTAATGAGAATCCATGAATACTAGAAATCTATATGAACATGAAATACTTAAAACGATAAGTCTTTCAAGATGATACGGCAATATGCATATAATTAAAATGCCTGGTTTGGTGTTTTGCTCATTGAAGGCAAAATCTAAATATTGGAATTAAAATACAGTCAAAATAACGATTTGTACATCTTCTTATAAAGTTTTACAAATTCCAATATTTAGGTTCGATATATCTCTTATAAAATATCGATAATAACATGGTTTATAATACTTTTAAAAAATATGAATTGGCTGTTATCGCATTTAAGCGAACATGATTTTACAGGCAAAAATTCATTTAAAAGGTTTTTGACTTGATGTATAAAGATCATGTACAACGTATTATTACAACATACAACCCCGTTAGACGTTGACAAGGCTCAAGGGACACGCGATCGATAAAAAATGTATTTTTAAAACTAAATTCATTACAGAAAAATTAATTGACAATTTTCAAAAAGAAACTTGAAATGTCATGAAATTGTTAGTGTCCACTTGATGCCTTATATTGACGCGTTCGGTAACAACATCGTCTTAGATAACGGTTCTAACAATAATAGTTTACCACCACCAAATATTGTCAGAGCCGAATAAACCTTTTTTGCCCTTGGACGGTCTGTCTGGCTTAGCGGTTAAAGCCTTATTCTTTCCCTTGGTTGGTTTTTCTAGGCTGGGTTGCTTCTTCTCGAGTTTCTTTGTCGGAACCTTGGTTGGTGTCGCTTTGGCCACTTTTGTTGGACTTTGTACTTTAGTGGGACAGCACTGGTAGGGTTCGTAAGTCATTTTAGGGACAGCCGGTTTCGCTCCCAATCCAATGTAGAAACAGCGATCGCCTGCAGTCAGTAAAAATTTGTTGTTTATAACCCGTAAAATTGAAAAAAAAAACAGTTACAGTTAACTGAGAGTTAATACTGTGCAAATTTATAATTTATGCGCCTATTTGTTATGCGCACGATTAATTCTATATATTATGTTAGTATAAGAACTAAAACATTTAATTTGGTAAGCGTTCGCGAATGACTGCAGGCGATAGCTACTAAGGACCCATGCGGGTTCCATTATTCGACCATGCAGATGTGTGATTGGGGTACACCGGTGCCTCCGTGCAGGGTCATCTCTCGGGGTCCAACACTACCAATTTACCTGTTAAAATTTGTTTCATTCTACCGATATAGCTATCTTCATTATGCGCATTTTTTCTAGGGCCCATAGTACTAATTTTTGTATATCTTTTATGAGCATATTCTTCTTCATCATCGTCGCTCTCCTCATCATCATTGTCATTTGTATCATCATCATCTTCACCTTCTTCTTCATCATCGTCATCATCGTGGTCGTCCTCGTCGTCTTCATTGTCCTCATCGTCGTCATCGTCCTCTTCGTCGTCATCATCATCATCATCGCCGTCATCATCGTCATTATCATCACCATCATCGTCGTCATCATCGTCACCATCGTCATCATCATCCTCGTCATCTACATCAGCATCATCATCATCTTCGTCTTTTAATTTTTTAAATAATATTTTCGGCTTACTCACGGGCTTCCATTCTGGATCTTTCTCCATATTCGTTTTGGTACTGTATAAATTGCGTTTATTTCGCATAAAACCTGAGGCTTTATCACCATCTGCATTGGCCATTGATTTAGAATTAGTATTATGCTTTTTTCGGTGGCTATCTTCACCTGCAGGCATTAGTAACTGTCATGCAAAATGACGTAGCTCAAACATTCAGTAATTATTTTCATTTTTACAAACATAAAGAATGATGTCATGCATTTATATTTTTTGTTTTTCTTTTCAAATAAAATTATAAGGAATGGACATTGTTTATAAACAATAAATATAAATTCAAAATGGATGTGGATTCTTACTTTTTTGATCTACAAGCCACTGGAGAACCTTATTTTCGTTCTTTAAGTCACCTATAAACAGGATAAAATCTTAACACCTCCAGCAGTAAAAAAAAAACAATGATTAATGTCAACGAGTGTCTTTTTATTAAAAAAAATAGTTTTATAAGCAGTATGTAGGAATACATTGAAAAATAAATAAATTATCTCAAATATATGCATATATGTAACAAATTGCATGAAACAAGTATATTGATATTTTAAATAAAATTAATCATACAGTCTCGACATTATTTCTTTAAAAATAACTTACCGTCATACATGATAGGTACACCAGTTTCGTAGTAAACTAATGCTGGGAAACTGAAAATGCCAATATCAGATGCCAATTTAGAGTCTTTTGATTTTACGAATTGGATACCATGTTTATCTGTGTCATCGTCGATAGTTTCTAATTCTTCTAAAATATCATCGCAAGTGTCACAATCTTCACTATCTGCAGAAATAAATGCATTCAATATGATCATGCTGCAAACTAAGTAGTTTTATTGAGAGTTCACTATCTAGCTTTACTGTTTTCTTTAAATTTACGACTTCTGAAGACGAATATATTGTAGTTGTGTATTAAAATGTTAATGAATATTTTTAAAGTAATTTTTAAATTTTCTTAGTCTCCTTAATTTTTTAAGTTCTGAAATTAAAGATATTTACAAGTATATAATAATTTATAACAATTTGCACAATTACTTACAAAAGAATACGGCGAGATGTTCAACGTCATCAATTAGATCTTTGAGTGTTTTTCTATCAACATTCTCGATAACATCAGGTTGAGAGTCATGAAGCTCCAGTACCCATTTAAGAATAGCTTCTTCATGCATTAAATCTCCATCATAAATCGTTCTAAATTTGTGCCGATAAAAGGCTAATGCTGGCAAATCTGGAAGGTCGTACTCCCTGTCTACGCCTTCATCGGATGTCTTGATGAAGTCGATATTCTTTTCTTCGCACTCATCATCAATGTTTTCTAGCTCACTTAATATTTTTTGGGATTTCTTGTCACCCTCTCGATCTGCAAATATTTATTTATGATGTTACAAAACTTTAACTATTGAAATATAGAGCATTTGAAACTTAAATGTATAAATGAAGATATACTTACAGAAGAAGACTACGACATGATCGTTTTCTTCTAAAATTTTATCTAACATCTTAGAGTTCACTTCTTCGATTTTTCCGGGAATTTCAAGAGTGTTCTCATCAGTTAGCCAAGCCAATACTTCATCTTCATCTTCAATGTCACCTATAATATACAATTAGTTAAGTTTATTTTAGTATTTTCATGAAACTTATATCGAACAACAAACTATTAAAAATAAAGTAGAAACTTTACCTTTATAAATCAATGGATCTCTATTTCTGAAGAAAACGAGAGTGGGGAAAGTTTTAATACCGTATTTTTTAGCTAATGCCATGTCTTCAGTTGTAACAAATATAATACCAGTTTCATCTAATTCATCGTCAATATTCTCAAGCTCTTCCAAAATATTGTCACATTCCTCACCTTCTTCACAAGTACCACCTAAAGTAATAAAACGAAAAAATATATATAAAGAATTACGATAATTACCTCTGTCTACTCCATTAGGGTTAAACCCGAGATCTTTTTATTAATATTATCAACACTTACTGAAATATACAACTACATATTCGTGCTCTTCGATCAGATCGGCCAATATTTCGTCGGTAACTTCTTCAATAGTAGCACTATTTTTCTGTTCAATAAGCCACTCCAGTACTTCATCTTCATTCATGAGATCACCTTCATATATAGCCGGTATATTTTCTTCAAAATAAACCAGAGTGGGTAAATGGTCGATGCCATATTGTTTTGCCTCAGCATCATTATCTATTCTCACAATAACAATTCCTTCTTTTTCTAATTCATCATCAATATTTTCTAATTCGTTTAGAATTCTGATGTCTTGTTTATCATCTTTGTCGTCTATAATGAACAATAAATAACTATTAATATATAACAAGTTAATAATACCAAATAGTTAATTATTAAGTAAACTGTACTTACAAAAAATAACAGCCAAATATGGTGTGTTTTCAATTAATTTGTCCATCATTTCATCGGTGACCTCTGGTATTTCACTATGACGTTTCTGGTGTAACAACCATCCTAACAATTCATCCTCTTTCATTAAATCACCCTCATAGATGTGAGGAATACCTTTCTCGAAAAATACCATCGTCGGAATGTTTTCAATACCATATTCCTTAGCTTCTTTGTCATCGTCAATCTTAACGAAGGCAATATCATTCTGATCGCACTCATCATCTATATTTTCTAGTTCCGCTAAGATTTTTTGACTTTTTTTGTGGTCCTTATCATCTGAAAATTTTTGAAATGACTGTATTTCATTTTTATGTCAGTTCAGAAATTCACACTGGATAAGATTAAAACAATGCGAATTTAAACATTTTTCATAGCCGTACTACGAGTAAGCATGAGAATTTATAATAAAAAAATTAGTAACACCGGAAGAGGAAAAAAAGAAGTTTCGTCTGTATTTTGCTTATAAGTGAACTTCGAAATTAGTTAAGAGATTATTTATTGGAAAACTAAGCTATCCCACAAGTACTTTATTAAAAGAGAAATAAATTTTATTTGGTGAATTTAATGTAGAAGTTAAGTCAGGTCAAGTGTATAAAAATCACTGAAATGCTTATTTCGCTGTCGCTATGCGACCACATATGATTACAATTACAATTGTTAGATATAAAAGTAATATAAATATAGTTACATCCTTTAATCACATGTCCTACTGCTTAGTAAAGGCCTTCTCTATATCTGTATAGAGAAGCTATTAGGCTAAAGTCCACCACGCGACCCCAATGCAGATTGGCGGAATTCACAGATCTTAGAAATGTTTTTTTTTTGTTATTATTTCTAAAATATGCAGGTTTCCTCACGATGCTCTCCTACACCGCTGAGCACGAGATAAGTAAAATAAACATAATACACATAAAATTAACAACTCCAAACACGCCAGCATCGGAATTTAAACTGAGGCTGCTCGAGTTTGTTTAATATTGATTTAGGTCTCACTTTTCCCGCATACTGATCACAGCTCTATATTTTTATAAATATAAGTTACTTTAAATTTGAATTAAATGCCGAATTAAAAGTCGGGATAAGCCACCTCGTGTCTTATAAAGTTGTTACTTACAGAACAATACGGCGACATACGGCATTTTTTCAATAATTAGATCGAGCATTTCATCAGTGATGTCCTCAATTTCATCGCTTTCACTTTGATGTCTTAGCCAATCAAGGACCTTCTCTTCTTCTTCTAAATTGCCCTCGTAATACGTTGGAATTCCCTTTTCAAAGTATAACAGTGTAGGGACTTTCTCAATGCCATATTCTTTTGCCTCATCGTCGTTGTCAATTTTAACAAACGCAATACCAAGTTGATCACATTCATCATCAATGTTTTCTAATTCGTTCAACACTTTTTGAGATTTGCGATCATTGTTGTCATCTGCAAACATAATATATTATAAGATTATAATCATTTTACTTTTTTATTGCTTTTGTATATTACTAATAGAAGGAAAAATAGAAGGAAAACGGGGAAGAGGACGAAGACGAATGGCATGGAGTGACAATTTGAAAAAATGGACTGACATCAAGGTAGCCGTCAGTCTTTGTAGATTGGCGCAGAATAGGAAAAGTTCCGTGTGGTGGTCGCCGACATCCGATAGGATAGGGCACCCCAGAAGAAGATTATTACTAATATTCAAAATCAACTGAAAAATAAATTCTTACAAAATAACACAGCTACTGTTTTTCCGTCCTTGATGAGACGATCGAGCATTTCGTCGGTAACATCTTCAATTTCATCTTTTTCTAGTTGATCTACAAGCCATTCTAACATTTCTTCTTCATTTTCCAGGTCACCTATAATAATAAAAATGTGTTTAATGCTTACAAAATAATTTAATATATTAATCGGTACATATTATTTCTCAAGGGTGCTTCTTGTCCGTACGCCATAACTTTCATAATTGTCCATTAAATTTAATGATGCAATTTTATATGATGCGCTATTTTAAAGTTTATGTTTTCCATTATTGAAGAAAACAAGTAGATTAAAATTAACTTTTTCATATATAACTTTCGTTTTGACAATCTGTTTAAATGAAAAATAGCGAAGCAGAATGAGATACGTTATTCTTCAAAATGAGGTACATTTCATAGATAAATACTAATTTACATATATTTACAGTAGTAGAGCCATGTTACAGTTCTCTCTATTGCACAAATGTGCAGGTCCGTCTGGGGATAAAGTGGCAATACATCTCTAACTATGTAGGTATTGCAAATGTCCATAGGTGGCTGTTATCACATAACAAGTGAAACGCCAGCTCGCTTACTATCTTCTCACATAAAAAAAAAATATATATAGATATAAACATTCTATTTCTGGTAGTGTGCGAAAATTTGACACGGTTCAACTAGTAACGTATTTGTGCTATATATTGTTACGACTACTTACCATCGTAAACATTAGGGATTTGCTTTTCAAAGTAGACGATAGCCGGAACATTGTCGATACCAAACTCCTGAGCCGCTCTCTTGTCGTCAATTTTCACAAACTGGATCCCGTGACGGTCACAATCATCGTCTATTTTTTCAAGCTCTGCCAAAACCGTCATCGATTCTTCATCGCCGTGATCGTCTAAATCGAAAATATTTTTATAAAAAAGTGAAGTAACAGCCTGTAAATGTCTCACTGCTAGGAAAATCCTTCTTTGTACAGAGGGTATTAGGGAATAGTCCACCACGCGACTCCTCTACGGACTGGCAGACTTCACGTAGTCTAGTAGTCAGAAGTAGTCAGAAGTCTATCAATTTCATGTAAAATTTAAATTATATAGTAAGTTTTTTGCTTTGTACTGTAAAACAAGAGTGATAAAGAAGGCAATAAAAGAATCAGTTCAGGAAAACTAATGGCAGCACAGAGACTGTAATAAATTCTTAATTAACATTATTTCACTGGCGAAGTTCAGGCTAAAAGTTAGTCATTTAGTGCCGACTTTAATAGTGATCTAAGCACATATCTACTTACAAAATAATACTACTAGGTTGTCCACGTTGCCAATAAGTGTATTAAGCGTTTTGGCAGTGACATCCTCGATGACATCTTCCTCGTCTCCAGTAGACTTGTTCGCTATCAGCCATTCCAATACGTCCTCTTCCCGACTCAGTTCACCTATGAGTTATTACAATAACGGGAAATGATCAATAGATCTCGTTATAATTATTATCAGTAATTAAATAGCTATAGTTTCTTCGCCTTACACCGGAAATACTCATTATTTTGATATGCAAGATATTATTAATTGTAATTGGACTACGTTCTTTAGACGTCGGCAAATTATGACTCACGAACCTTCATAGATAATAGGTATTTGATGCCTGTAGTATACTAGTCTTGGCAAGTCCCCAAGACTGTACTCCTCGGCGAGTTCCTCGTCGTGGATCTTCACGAAGCCAATACCGAGCTGGTCAGCTTCATCGTCGATGTTCTCCAACTCTTGTAATGCCTTCGCGCATTTTTTGCACTCAGGCTTATCTGAAACACGTGGGGCAAACTGTAAGACAAAGATTTAATTACCTAGAACAATACGAAGATCTCCTTCCTGTCATGCCTTGAAAAGGATTGGAAGCAGTGCAATAAAGCGCAATGCTCAGTGACTTCAGTGGGTTAAAAGAAAGTTAACAGAGTGTAAACTACACCTACTACCATTTGACGTGCAGTGGTGCGGTTTAAACGTTGTAACGATAAATCTACTTTCACATATCGCACGTGACAATAAAAGCAGGAGTTGTGCTGAGTGCGCGGAGACTGCGTATACATACTGAATGTGCATACCAACCTAGTTTTCACGGGGCTCAGTAAAATCCACTATAATGTCTATTCTATTTTCATGTCTAACACAGCAACAGTGAATCTGGAACGACTTCTTTACAGAAATTTGCATTTAAGAAAACATCTACATAAACAACTTTTCTAAAACATCATGCCGCTGTTGCTATTTCTGACGTCTCTTTCATCAAATATTAAGGTCAAGGTCATCGCGCTTACTGCATGTCAATATGAAATCAATCTTGTGATTTTTTTATAACTATAACATAACTATAGGGACATCGTACATTACAAAGGTTATGGCTTTCGGTCGTTTGTACATTATTTTAAGTAACTGAGAATGTACTGCCGACGTATCCGTGACAAGTCGGTCCGTCAATCCGAGCTGGCTGGCAAGACAGAAATAGGACGGCCAAAATAGCCCGCCGCACGGCCAGATAACGCTAACGCGATTTTGATTCTAGCCTTCTCTTACACGCCGGATGGACATGCAAATATTATTTCGGCAGTACATATAAAATAGCAGAGAGAAAATTGATAGGAAAAAGGGAAGAAGTGTTCATATAGAGGACAAACAATGGTTTGGCGAAAAGAAGCCGTTATGCGTTGCACATGCCTACGCCTGATTGTTAAGGCGATCGATCGCTAGGCTATTTTTCTCGAACTAAACACGACTTCGTGTTTGGCCCGAGACAGATTTTCAAAGCTTTATCGTCCGACGCCGCACTTAATGCTTCAGTTGTTCTTCAGTTGACATTTTCTTAAATTCTTGACATTCAACACCGAATTCACCCGCCATTGCAAGCGAAAAGCATTCACGTGACGCCATTAGATAGCACTATTCTAAGAAGCCAGCAGCTACTGCAACATCGAGATAAAAATTCATGCCGCGAGCTGAAAACCTTACTTACTGAGCGGCGGGCTGCATGTTTTGAGATCAGGACCTACGTAAAAAACACAGTAAAACACACAGCACGATTATTTCTCTTACAAACAAACAGTTTCGACGTCTACAATTGTGTTAAGCGAACAGAGAAGAGTCTACTCGATAGCTAGAACTTTACAAATTCGCTTTTATTATGTTAGTTATGATAGCTCAATATTTCCTTTTTTACCACAGTAGCTGATGAACTTGTTAAGTTACAAGAAACCCGCAAATGTGTGATCGATACTCACAGAACAAGACTGCGACGTATTCGGTTTCCTCTATAATTTTTCCGAGGATCTTCTGGTTGACCTCTTCTATCCGGTCGGGAAGGTCCATCGCTTCTAAGCTCGTCAGGAAATCCAGGACGCTCTCCTCGTCCATGAGATCTCCTAAAGTAAAAAAAAAAGCGATCAAAGAATACCTACTGTGGAAGTTCATTCACACTCATTTCAAAACAAAAGAGTAAAAGAGTGGACAACATATGAAAAACTAAATGAATAATTTGACTACTTCATTCTCGTCGCTGTTGAACCTCGAAGTTCAATTGGAATTTAAATTAACTACTGATACGGTACCAAATTATTTTGTATGTTATTATATCTCAGTGTAACTCTTTAGTGTAAAAATGAATTTATAGAAAACTTTCACTTAAGGTCAAATATCTAGTAAAAACAATTAATATTGGCTTACGTCTTTTACTTATCGAAATCCAAGATCTACTATGTTTTCAACAATAAAAAACCTTGAAATTGCAATGAGACAAATTATATTATTTCTTCCTTTTTTTTCTTATCATCACTACATAGTATAAAACGTAGTCGTCCCGCGTCTGTCTGATTCTATGTATGCTTACATCTTTAAAACTACGCAACGGATCTTGATGCGGTTTTTTTGCTCGATATAGTGATTCAAGAGGCTTATATGTATAATACATTGGACCCGTACGAAGCCGAGACGGGTCGCTAGTCCACCAAATCGGATTTTCACAACGCACCTTCGTAAATGATCGGTTCCTTCTCACGGAAGTACGTGAGGGCGGGGAATTTCGTGATGCCATACTGTTTCGCGAGCCGCTTGTCGTTGATCTTCACAAAGTCGACACCGAAAGTGTCCGTGTCGTCGTCGATCTTCTCCAACTCCTCCAGCACCTTGTCGCACGTCACGCAGCTCCTGGCATCTGCGAGTTTTGGCGAGTTGTTATTTACTTTTATTACAGAGCTGTTATCAACTTTTATCAGAGAAGATAGCTGATGTTATGTGATAGCCGTCAATGGCAACTGCAGCAACACCCGTAGGGTTGCAATAACCTTGCCCGATTTAATAAAATGGCCTCCGGTTACCTCATTTTTCTTTTAAATTTCGTATCACATGTTAATTAATGTAATTCAAAGAAAGAATATAGGCTTAAAGTGTTCCAAAAGAATGTATGTACAGTTTTTGTTAACGTGGATTTCACAGTCATCTAAAATTATTAACCATTTAAATACTTTGTTATAAGTAAAAAGTAAGCTTATATTAGATTACACAGTACAGAGTAGACAGTCGGTCAGTCATTCTTATTCTAAAATATTCCACCATTAAACTTTTAGCCGTTTTGGCAATCAATTCGAAAAACCCTCATACGCTTGACTACGCAACTACTACTGAAACAACGAATCAGATTCACAATCATTTAAATCTCAACGACCCTCTCCAAAAAATTTTACGTAATCAGTTGACGTCGCGATTTGTGATTGATTAAATATTGCAAATGAATAAATATTTACGTGGTAATTTTTATTTTAGAACATACGTATGCCACCCAGTGGAATTACTACAGATTTCAGATTTCCATTTTTAAGATTGCCTAACTCTTTTGAATTTTCCACATCTTCTTGCACTGTTTCAGATGATTTTGGCGAGGAATAATTATTCTATAATAGTTTATTTCAACACCGTTTGTCCCACTATTAAAAGTTTGTAATATTATGTACTACATTTTTTTTAGTTTCAAAAAATAGTAGCGTACCTACGGATTGCTCGCACCTTTTATTATATACTTGTCAATTTTTTTTACTTGACAGGTATGGTCGCTAAGGCATTCCAATTTCGTTGTAGTCTTAATAAAAATCTTGAGGGATGTAAGATTCATACAACAATTTAGAGATTATAGTCGCGTGCAAAAACGTGCAACGCCAGTACTTGTTTGTTATCGACCTGTTGGTGTTTAATAGGTATTTAACGGGGCGCTGGGAGAAAATAAACCTGCTGGCTGGGGTATGAAAGAGCGCGACTCGGGATTTACGACTCCACGGCCCACGTATCGGGCCAATCTGCGGTTTTGCATTAATTTAACGGCTTCCGAAAGTTTATGCTTCTTCGGAACTCTAAAATTCGTTAAACAATTTGTGCCGAAAGTTAATTTTGACATAATTGCGCTTAATGTGTTAGCAAGCGTGGGCTTATAGGCGGTTTTCATAGTTACCGTACCGAATTATATTCACATAACACACCATTAAGATATCAAACAAATTTAAAACAGTCATTTGAGTATACGTCTTTTGAAATTAAAATATTTAGTGTATTAACTCTAACATTATATAAGTAGCTTTGTTAAACGAATTAAAGGAAGTTTTTCCATTAACTAAAGTGGAAAAAGTTTCTATTGCTGTAATGTCGATTTTAATTACAGAACATTTCTGAGATGTACTTCAGCCGCCATTATCTGACATGGTAAAGGAAACATGAAAACTGTTTAAATTAAATATATTGTATATAATCCATAAGTTTTTAAATTTTTAAACCGTCGATCAATTAATGTTTAATGAACACGAAAGTTAACTCACCAAACATAACTATGAAGCAGCAACCTTGTTGACTCCCAAAATTTACAATTTTATAAAATTTACAATATTCTTTCTAGCCGTTTTGTCTTCGTTCTTCTACTTATGAATGAAGAGTAGAAAAATATTGATTTCTTGTACTTACGCGGGATCCTATAATTTATGTATTTAAATCCAACCACACCGGCACTCTCTGACCTCAAGATACTATTAGCTCTTTTGCGTAGATCGGAATACAATATATAATAAAGTAATTGACGATAGCCCAGGTTATTTGACATTAGGAGGTGAAACAAGTTTGTTCCGTGACCATGAAGAATTTGAATTTGTAATTGAAATGTCGGGAATTTAACATCAAAATAAAACGCCACAAATACCGTGAAATTGTTTTATTTGACCATAAACCGAATGTAATTTTGTTTCCTTTCTTACCTAACTTATAGATTGAAGGAAAATTACGTATCTTTCCCTTTAGAAGAAATTCAAAAGACGCGTACGCAACAATCCATAAAATTAAAAATAGCATTGTTATGTAACGCACATACAAAAAGAACGGCGTGAATGAGCATATATATTGAAAATATATACTGGGGGTATTTACCACATGTGTTTTAACCTGATAATACCTTAAATTCTGACGGAAGTGACGGCGGTTGCTGGTGCTATCTAATTTTTAGCAATCACAATTATACGTGTGAATTTCCACCGAAGGTTACACATCTATAGTGAACCGAGAACAAAATTTGAAAAAAATCAAAATATTTTTCAATACAATACCTAAGGGTTTGCAGATGCGTAGACAACCTTTTAACAAGTCGAGCCCGTTGCCTCACCCACAGGCTAAACGTAAAAGCATAATACTTTCACTTCACGTTGTTGAATAACTTCCCGGTCTTTCCTGGACGAGTGTGCCAATTCACTCAACAGCAGAAGCCGATGCGTCATCCTACCACAGCCTTTAGTATGCATTGCGAAACTTCTTTATTCATAAAACAAATTGTCATCAAGAGATGATTGTGAAAATCGATTTTTAGAGTTTTTCGCCAATAGAGACCAAGACTTCGATAAGAAAGATTATGAAGCTACTTTAAAAATTGAAACAAATTGTAGAACAAAACGCTGCATAATTGACCCAAATCAGTCTTGATGTTCACGTAAAAATAATGCACTGCTTTTTCAACCGCACAATCTATCAAAAGCTGTCTCTACTGAATAAAGAAATCATTATTTACACACATTTCAATATATTACATTTGTTTGTTTATTAATGTATTTTTTTGAGTTGTTCAAATATTTGTTTTACTCCTACCACCTATCTACTTCCAATTACTGTAAAACTCTGTTACAGATACAAAAGGAAACGCATAACTCATTTTATAAATAGCTTCATCGGATTAGAGATGATGAACCGGTTAATATATCAATTTAGTACAGGATTTTATTATATGTAACTTATTAATAAATCACGACATTAGGTTGATTAGAAGAGAATGCCTCGGGCGTTCAATTTGTGCGAGAAATAAACATTTTTTTAATGAGAACAAGCATAGAGTACTTACATTGTATTATGTAAATTAAATATTGGAAACGTCTGTGTGACCAGATTTCGTGATTCAATTCAATTCAACGGGAACTACCATATAGGTTTTCGACTCAAAACACTACTACTGGTACTCCCGGTTGACATGGAACTGTCAATTTTCGAAGGCTTACAGCACAAGTAAAGGGAAAAATAAAAAAGTTGAAAAGAAGATAAATTTTGGAACTTACTTTTAAATATCTTTTATCGTATTGACTCAGGACCTTGATTTTATACCGTTAAGTCGGAGTCATGTAAGGTGACAGGGTATCTTTTGAAGATTTCCCCCCTATACCAAAAAAAATAAAAGGTCCAGCCATTTCTGAGGAAATTGGTGGTGATTATTTACCAATTACGGCGGTATAGTGGCAAGGTAATGGAAAAATCGGCGTACGAGTTCGACGCACACTGTTTTTATTATATAATACTGCTGGAACCTGTCGAATTCTATTATTTCACATTACCTTAAACTTCTTCAATCGACAGTTCAAACTTTTATAAATATTCACTAATTTTATAACTGAAAACCTTAGTTTATGTGTGTGTTTGTGTTCCTCTCCACTTTATACGAAAGGAAATAAAGATTATCAGCAGTTATAATATTTTCTTTTATATGTGGTTGAGTAATAATTTCAATTTAAATAATTGTATTTTATTAAAAAGAATTCTGATTATATTACTTTTTAACTCCCTGCTTTGTAAGCGAAGATGCAGGAATGTGCTGTGTGTGATAGATGAATAAATAAAAAAAATGGTAGAATAATGTTATTTGTCCATCCCTGATCCCCCATCTTTGATTGTTTTAAAAATGCATAAAATAATAACAATAAAATATTGTACTGTGTACAATGATACAGTTTGTTTTCTTACTTGTGTACCACTGTAGAAAATGAACATGCAAAATTAAAAGATATTTCAGGAGTTTACAACGCAGAAAACTCTGTGTGGATGCATTTAGAAGCTTCGTCGGTCCAACGTTCTGGCTTTCACGATGCAATATTAAACAAACATTCTGTGCGTGGCCCAACCTACGCAATAACAGCCAGTGTAATTGAAGAAGAAACGAGGTTCGTATACAGTTTTTCTGAAACTTTGTTTACGTATATTTTATAGTGCGTTTAAATATTTGTATTGCTGTAGTTTCTCATTTAATTTTTACATTGTATAAGTTAGGGATTAACTGTGACGTTTTTTAAAATAAAGTCTTGTATAAACTGTAATGAAAGTGAGCATTTCGCACTCATAGATTTAGCCAAAAAGTTACAGTTGCAGATGAATGAATGTATTTTTTGATTATTCATATCATCAAGATTTGTTGGCATGTACGTAATAGGGATATATAACGCACAGAAGCACCTGATTAGCATGCTTTTTCTATAATGCACAACCCTATTTCAACTAAAAATGTTCTTGGGAGTTACTATGCAATCGTTGCATTAATAAAGATTGACCATCAGAGCAAATACCTCTTCGAGCCAGCGACTGACTCATCGACGGCTGGCATCAGATCACTCAGTCTGTTGCCGCTGTGATAGTGTTTAATTTGTATGATGGTTATGTATCCCTTTCAGATCAGTTAGACATGTTTTGTCAATTTTATAATATTTAATTATAATGTATTCGCAATTAGATATGATTTTCATGAAATTCCAGTTCGTTAAATTCAATCTTTAACATTTTAGAAATTTAATTTTTTTATTAAAATTTGTAGAAACATTAAAATTTGTAGAAAAAGTACGAAAAGATTATCGCCGCTGTGGGAATCGCACCCACGAT